AGAGGAATATGTATATATATATATATATATATATATATATATATATATGTGTGTGTGTGTGTGTGTGTGCTTTGGGCCCTTGAGTGGGGTTGCCATTTAGATTTGAGAATTTGGGCCTCGGGAGAGTCCATTTATTATTGGGACTTGGTGGGCCCAATGGGTTTAGATTATTGATGGGCTAGTTAGTGGGCTACCTTTATACCTAATGATTGAGAGTTTGGACTTAGTTCCTAATTGGGTGAATTGTGGGTTTGGCTCAGAGATAGAGGCTGGTGCGCAGCAGCAGCGTTTTTAGGGGTTGTTCATCATCCGAGGTGAGTCTTCTCACTATACTTACCATGAGTGGTATCCTTGTGTGACTGAGATGTCTTATGTGCTTATTGTGTATTGTGATATTCTGCATTATGTCTCTGTGATTTATGTTGAGTATTGTTATTATGAGCTTATTGAGTTAGGACCGGAGGGTCCACCTGAGTTCTGGGACCGGAGGGTCACACTGAGACACATTGACCGAAGGGTCTTATCTGAGTATAGCCATGATAGGCTACTGAGATGTGTGTGGTATTTTGGGGAACTCACTAAGCTTCGTGCTTACCGTGTTATGTGATATGTGTTTCAGGTTTTCTCAGGATCGCGGGAAGGCACCGACTTGATTGTACACACCAGAGCAGGAGTTATGTTTTGAGGATCCTGGAGTACTAATCAAACAATTATGGAGTTGTGTTTTGTAAATTAAATCAATGAGATTTTTGTAAAATGTGTTACGAGAATTATATGATTTTTAAAATGAAAAATTTTGTTTGAAAATTTACGGGTTACATTCTTCTACCCGATGTCTGATGAAGTGGTATTTTCTGTCGATGTGAGCTCTAGTGAGCTCTACCTGGGTTCCCTTGATATCGTCTTACCATGCTCAACGTAAAAGCCACATCAGGGCGAGTACATGTCATAACGTACATGATCGAGCCAACGGCGGAAGCATATGGCACTCGACTCATTTCCGATATCTCTGCATCAGTACTCAGACTTTGAGTGTTACTCAGTTTGGTATTGCTCTGGATAGGTAGCTCCCATTTCTTGGAATTCTCTATGCTAAAATGTTTTAGCACTTTATCCACGTAAGTACTTTGACTAACTCCAATTAGTCTTCTACTCCTATTTCTCAAAATCCTTATCCGCAGAATATAAGCAGCCTCTCCTAGATCCTTCATAGCGAAACACTTTCCAAGCCAGGACTTAACCTCCTGCAAGGTTGGAACGTCGTTTCCTATGAGCAGTATGTCATCGACATACAATACTAGAAAGCTAATTATACTCCCACTAGCTTTGACATATACACAGGACTCATCCTCACTCCTAGAGAAATCAAACTCTTTGACTTTCTCATCGAAGCAAATATTACATCTGCGAGATGCTTGCTTCAGTCCATAGATGGATTTCTCAAGCTTGCACACTCTATTGGGGTATTTAGCATCCACAAAACCCTCTGCCTGACACATGTAAACATCTTCAGCCAACTTTCCATTAAGGAAAGCAGTTTTGACATCCATCTGCTAGATTTCATAATCATGAAACGCAGCGATGGCTATCGGAGCTGCACCAGGAACCAAGTCAATCTGAAACTTCACTTGCCTCTCTGGAGGCACTCTAGTAATATCCCCTGTAAACATATCCGGGTACTCCCGTACATTCAACACATCATCTACAGTCGCCTTACCCTTCTCCCAGGTATCCATAACATAGGTGACATAACCGGAACATCCCTGATGAAGATAACGTTTGGACCTAGCTACTAAGCATAAAACCGGCCCTTGCTGAGCTCTCTCTCCCTGAACCACTAACTCTCCCCCACTTGGGGTCCGAATGCATACCATCTGATGCTCGCAATTAATCACTGCCCCATTGGGGCTTTACCAGTCCATCCCTACAATAACCTTGTTCCCCACGCAAAGGAATAGGAACCAAATCAATCAGATACTACTCGATGAACATCTCTAGAACATAATACTGATGAACCCTCGATACCTGGACAGATCGATCATCTGCAATCTCAACCTCTAATGGACGATCCATTTCCCCCGAAGCTCCAACAAATCTCTTGGTGAGCACAAGAGATACGAAAGATTGGGTAGCCCCCGAATTAAACAATACCAAGGCAGAGATACTATTCACAAGGAACGATCCTAAAACAAAACACACAAATATTCATAGAGAAATCAACATAAATAAAGAGTTAAGGAGATGAGACATACCCGTCACCACATAAGGTACAGCACGAGCCTCCTCGGCTGTCAGCTGAAAAGCTCTACTCCTCACAACAGGCACATCCGACTTGCCCTGGCGGCCATTAGTAATCCGTAAGGTCGCTGGAGCAGGTGTTGCTACCAGTCCTCCTGATGCTATGATCGTACAGTTGGCCTTCTTGTGGCCCCTCTGATTGCAATAGAAGCAAATCAGATTTGATGTCTGGGTGGTGGTGATAATAGCAGTGCAATCCTTGCTAAAGTGCCCTGTCTTGTTGCACTTGTAGCAGCCCGAGTCACCCGCTCTGCAGGCCCCATCATATGACCTGCCGTATTTGCCACAACGGCTTCAACCCTGCTGCCCTTCGACATAGAGTTAAAACCCTTGGGTTTCTTCGTTGAAACCCCAATCGAAGGCACAACTCGAAGGCTTTAATCACTTCACCAACATCATCAACATCTAATAAGGTCTAAACCCCGTTCCCTTGAAGCCCAAGGCCTTTACTCGATCCAGTTATTGACCACAATCCCAAAATAAGAAACTTCTCGAAACATGATGTTACAATCACCATGGACTTCATCATAAAGTTACCACGAACGGAAAAGGGACTCAATGTTATTTGGGTTATTGTGGATCGTTTGACCAAGAGTGTCAATTTCCTTGCTATTCGGGAGAGTTCATCTGCTGAGAAGTTAGCCGACATTTATATCCGAGAGATTTTGGCTCGTCATAGGGTACCTGTGTCTATAGTTTCATATCGATATGTTCGGTTTACTTCCAGGTTTTGGAAGAGAATCCATGAGGAGTTGGGTACCAGACTGCACTTCAGTACTGCTTATCATTCGCAGACGGAAGACCAGAGTGAGAGGACTATTCAGAATCTCGAGAATATATTGAGGGCCTACATCATTGATTTTGGTAGGATTTGGGACTCCTACCTTTCTTTGGCTGAGTTTTCGTACAACAACAACTATCATGCCAGCATTGGTATGCCTCCTTACGAGATTCTTTGCGGGAGGAAGTGTCGGACCTCGGTTTGTTGGGGGGGGGGGGGGAGGTTGGTCAGAGAGTAATGGGGAGCACAGAGGTGGTGCTCAATACGGCCCAACTTATTCAGCAGGTCGCACAAATATTGTTGACGGCACAAAGTCGGTAGAAGAGCTATGTGGGCCGACGCCGTTCAGAGTTGTAGTTTCAGGTCGGGGATATGTGTAACGACCCAAATTTTTATCCATCATCGATGTTGGTGTTATGTCAAATTTTATTTTTAAACTAACATTTTAATTGGTTTAAAGTTAACTTTTGAGGGCTAAAGTGTAATAACATGAACCTTGATCGTGTATATAGGTCTAGGTGTCATTTTGTGATACTTTGAGGGCCAATTATGGAAGTTATGGGGTATTTAAGCGACGTTAACCCTATAATACGGGTTTGTAACCCTATTTGCAGCCAACATCATCTATTTGGAGTGTGTTCTTGTGAGTTTTCATTTCCTATTAGTCTAGTGTGATTCAAGTGAAGAAGAGTTGCACTTTTTTAAGGATTTGGTGGTATAGCGATTGACTTCTTCTCTTCATCTTGTTACTTTGTGTCATCTGAAGTTCTAGGAGGTAAGAACATATTCCTCAACTCATTTTTCTGTTTTGATTATGGATTAATGGGTTAAGATGTCAATTAACCCCAAAAACTCAAAGCTAGGAATTGTAGGAAAATGTCTATTCAACCACTGTCTTAAAAAAAATCTAGAAAAATCATCGAGAGTCAAATTCAGGATCTATAAACTCAAAGTTTACATTTTGAGTCTAATTTCCCCCTGATTTTTCTCAAGACCTGATGTTGTCTCTAACCATGGTGAAAATCGCCATTTTCAAATTTGATAGTAATTATGTTTGAATGTTCTTTAATATAAGATCTTCTACCAATAATTTTTCTTATGAATATAAGCTTTATTGGTTAAACTAAGGCAAATAATTTTATAAATAGTATGAAATATGTTAAAAAAATAAAAATGAATGAAAGTGATGTATATAATTTCTTATACAATGGTGTCCTATGAATCCGATAGGCATAGAGGGTAAACGAACAATAAGTTACGTTGCTAATCTTTTTTGGAAGGTCAAATTAATTCTTTTGAAAATCACATTTATAGATGTAGGGGTCACAACAATACCATGCATGATCTGTTAGACTCTATTAAGGAGCTTCACATCATCTGACGCAAGAAACCAAAAGTATCAAACGCGAAAGATATAAATGCATGTTGATTTTTCATGCACATTTTCTCATATTTAGCCGTTTTGCATTAGACAATTTTTAAAGCAGACCGCCTCATAGTGAAAACCCCACTCCCCAAGCCCACAAGAGGGGAAAACTCCTGTTAGATCTACAGATGCGTGTTTCTCTCATGTTCATCCAAAAACTAAAATGTTGGTTAGTCTAAACGTTGATTTTCCTTCCAACGAATCAGTCAAAAAATTCACATGTGAATCTTTATTGACAGAAACCACAACACGATTATAACATGTGAGCATGATTATGACTCGTAAACCCGTATAAAACGGATTAGGCGAATTATGTACGCATTTAATAAATACAATTAGTGTTGAACTATATGAAAAATCTAATCATACATATTGTATCTGGGCCATGTTTTCTAACTGCCCAACCCGAGACATCAGAACCAATGTGATTGCCACCCGTATTACTGGTTTTGTTACTCGGACTATCCACCACATATCTAAATTGGAGAGGGAACAAACCAACTACTGCTCCACTTGATCCCATACTCCCCATCATTATAAAATAAAACGAAATTTCTCTCTTTCTTCTTTACCGTTGCATTTGCTCTTACACACACACTGACACACACAGTACAGCATCACTCAGAGATGGTGGATTCCAATTAAATGAGCATTGCAGCAGTTTACCTACCAATTTGACCTTCTTCCTTCTTTCTCGCTTTAGATTCTTCATTAATGGCGATGGCAATTCGATGCATGTCTCGTTGCAGTCATATAACTCATGAAGAAGAGATTAATCAATCAAATGCTCTGATCCAGAAGGTATATTCCTCTCCCTTTATTGCTAAATCTGTTCTCTTTCCTGTGAACGATTGATTCGAAATCCGATCAGATTTGAAATGCACAATTCTGAAATTTTGGTAATCTCTTTGATGAGTGCAATCAGCAATGCGATCTTCAATTTTGCGTGTAATTACTAAAACTAAAACATTTCTTTTTCTTTTTTCAAAATTATCTTAGCTGTTCCTATGTGATTATAAAAACTTAAAGAAATTAACATCTATTTATCGCTTAAGTTATATTATATATATTAAACAATATATATAACTTTAAAATTTGAATAATATTTAAGCAAAAGTTATTTTCAGAATATTGGTTGGTTGATCGGGGATGAATTTTATTATTTATGCCTACTATGCATCATACTACATGATATATATTTTTTGTATATACTAAATTTAGGTTTTACCATTACTTTTTGTACTTTGTGAAACTAGATATTTCTATTTTATATAATATGTGGTAACTAGGATCATCATAAAAAACGTTATTCTTACTTTTATGAGAGAGTCATTGTGTAATTATGTAAAGAAGGATCAGCATTAATAAATATGTTTATCTTATAGAAAAATAACAATAAAGAACACCAAATAAATAAATAAATAAAATTAAATGCCAACTTCACTTATGAAACTATAAAGTTTGTACTCTCAGAAAACGAAAATTGATCTTCCCTTGTGATGGAGACAATACGACGAAATGATTATTATCATATTAATTCTTACATTATAAACAGATATCTGAATTTCTATGTGGACACGTCTGGTTTCTAACATCACAAATATATTATTTTATTAAATTTATTATAAAGCTTATATTTAAGTATTTAACAATGAACGCTATTTTTATTTATTTATAGTATATTTTAAATGATAAATAATAAAATTAAAGCACATCATCGAACTATTTCGATATTAATAAATAAGAGGAAAAAATCGACATATAGAACTTCTATTATGTCTACACCGTTAAAGACAAATGATTACCAAAAAAATATATATCTTATTTATAACATATATAAAATTTAGTGAAAAAGGTAACCGCATATAAAGGTGACAAACTTTTATCATTTTCTAATTTAAGATAACCACCTAAGAAAGTTCTTTACCTTAAATAAATAAATAAAAAAACCAAACGTTAGTTTTTTCTTCGACAAAAAAAAAAAAAAAAAAAAAAAAAAAAAAAAAAGATTGTATAAAACCAGAAGAAGATCAAAGGTGATTTTATACTTTTTAAAACATAGCACCCAACGAGTCCTCGGTTATTTTGATTTTTATGAAGGAGATTCGTGTAGATACATTTTTGGTATGTGTCATTTTCTAAATTGACATTTAGCTAACCTCTGTTATCAGTTATTTGTCATTTTTTGTCTGTAATTATTTTAATTAAATACACCATTGGCATTTGGTAATGTTTTCTTTCTTAGTTTGTTACAATGTCAATGTCATTTTAAGGTTGATAACCCTTAAAAGTTAGGGAATTGGCAAGTACATTCAAAGCACCTCATGAAGTCCAACTGTGTAAATAATTCGATCATTTTTTTCATCTAGAATAAAAACAAATTTCGTGGAATATGTAATTTTATAAAAGTCTTGTTTATTAGGATATTATATCTATGCAACGAGAAGAATATGAAGAAATAAAATCATGTTATAATTTGTTCGCTACACGTCACTAGAACATTTTATACCCATGGACCTTTTGATTTGAAATGATAGGCCACATTAATGTTCCAACTGTGACCACCTGCAAAATAATTTTTGATGTTCCATTGTTAAAAATCATAAATAATGTTCAATCACAATCTTTTTTATACATTTGCTACGTAACCAAATGTAAACAATCGTGATTTTATCTAGTTGCCATTCAATTCTTATGGTATGTAATATGTTTAGTTACACTTAAATCTTTTATATCATTAAATATTGAAATTTTGTTCTTCTAGTATTAATTTGTTGAGATAGATTTCTTTTAGTATTAATTTGTTGAAATAGATTTCTGGTTATGTCTTTGTATCGCTAATACAATCATTTTATATTATTAATGTTGAAATTTTGTTCTTGTTTATGCAAATCCAAAATAAGTCGACAATGAGGAATGAAAATACCTATGAGAATCAAAACTTTATTATTATTATTTTTAATGGGTTATTGTTGTGATACAGGACCTTGGTTCCTAGTTTTTGTAGTCCCCGCCGAAAATAGCATCTGAAAAGCTTCGAGGCCACATACATTAAATTTAAATATAGATAATAGTCCATTGAAGATGGTGTTATTGAGGAGAAGACTCGCTTGTTGTACGTGGACCAGAGAAATCAGCAATAGCATCGATTTTGATCAAACACCAAACGGTATATTTTCTTTTTTCTTTTTTCTTTTCTTTCATGCACACACACATTTGGTTACGAATTCATAATCAAGAAAATTCATATGCCACTTAATTTCTTTGCATCTAATTGATAGAACTCACTGGTTTTGGTTTATATTTTTCAAAATTTTAATAAGTAGTATTTTTGATGAGTTGAACTTGAACCAATTGGGCTTTATTGGGATTCAGATCTTTTTGTTAGTTGTTATCCAATGTTACAGTGTTTTTTAGGTTTTTAACTGCTAGAATTTTTTTTCTTCTTTTCAAATTTAACCAGAGAGAATTTGTTATTTTTTTCAAAACAGAAAATATACAAAACTTTGAATTCTATAAAATCTAACATTTTCAATTAATTACCGAAAAAAACTTAAAGTTGTTTTTTTAAAAAAAAAAAACAATAACTGAAAAAAAAAATCAATCCTTAATCCAAAAAAAGAATAAAAAACCCTATATCGTTTATGTGGAATATGGCATCGATCCCAGCCAGTTAAAGTGTATAGACTAGGAGGGTGTTTGGTATTTCATTTAAAAACAATTTATTGACTTATTGTCTTTTTGAAAAGTCAATAAGTCAAAAAAATGTTTGATAATATGAAAAAGACTTTTAAAATGCATTCTCATCGATTCTTCAAAAGATATATTTCAATAAGTTAAGATTTTTAATTTTTCAAAACTCTTTATAACTTTTTAGATTGTAAAAACAAATACTCTTTAAAACATGTATAAGTTAAGATAAATAGTTTTTAAAAAACAACTTATCGACTTATTGACTTTTCTCATCATAAAAGTTAATCCAAACACTTTTAAAAAAAATATATTTTCTCACCATTATAAGTCAATAAGTAATTTGCCTAAAAACTCTTTTAAAGTTCAAAATAAAATTTCAAACACCCTCTAGATAATAATATATGTATGATTCAAAGGCGAAATTTGTTTATGTTATTTTAACAAGTAAAAACCTTTTTTTATGATATTAATTTGTTTACTTTTGGATTTCATGTATATACATGGTATATAATCCTATCTAGTCTTTTATATACTAATAAAAATTGAGAAATTAAATATCTTCATACATTTTTTTTCTTTTTATCATCATACTTATTAGATTAAGATAAGTGTCAAAATCAAGAGAGATGATTAAGAAAACAGAATTAGTGGTATCTACATGCTATAATCTTACATGAATAGGAGGATGATTAGGAAGAAAATATAGAATAATATTTAATTTTTTATAAAAATCAAACTCTATTAGTGAAAACTTATGTTTATAAATTCAAAAATTGTTGTGAATTTGGAAATAATTGCCGTGATTCAAGTGTCAACTAGTGTCTAGAGACTAGCGGTATGTTGTCTTGCATTGTCTTCTTTGTAAATAGTGTGTGGATGTTGATTCTTCTACCCACTTAACTACTATCAAACATTGTTGAAAGCAACAACTAATATGTTTTGTGAAATCCCATACGTCGTCCATTATTGTTTGTGCCACCAATTATTTTCAAAATGCTTTCTAGAAATATTTGAAATTTGTAAATGAAAATCGCACACTTTTCTTTTATGATAGCGGTTGAAAACTCACTCCAAGTGACTAGAAGTAAAAAAAAAAACTGATTCGTACATAACAGAAATTTTCCATACATAATAATTTATTTATTAAAGTGTTGTATTGTACAATTCCATAAAACATAAATTGTTATGTATAGAAAAAAATTGTTGTGTACAAATCACTTCCAAAAAAAAATTGTCATCTATTGCATTTTTGTATTTAAATATAATCCAATCATATCATATCATATCATACTATATTATAAATGAAACATTTTTCTTTTCGCCACATTCATTTGAAACTCCCATGACTTTTCAATTTCTTTCTAATAATAATTATAAGTTGGTTAATAAAGTTAAATAAATATCAAGCCTAAAGTGTAATCATATATAAACTAAATTTCAATATTAAAATATTATATTTACTTCTACTTATAAAGTTATATTTTTTAACTTTTAATATATTATACTTAATTTATTAGTTTTAATATATTATTTGGTTGTAAACTATTATCATTTTAAAGATACAATTTTGGAACAATTTGTATAAAATACTAAAATTATTAATTTGAATATAACATTACAGGGTCAACTTAAATATAAAATTTAGTTTAACTTAAACAACCCAAAAAATATTTTGTAAATAGTTAAAAATGATTAATTGTAGTGTCTTTCTAATAATGATTATAAGTTGGTTAATAAGGTTAAAAACATATCAAACCTAAAGTATAATCATAAATATACTATATTTCAATTTTAAAATAATATTTTTACTTCTACTTATAAAGTTATGTCTTTAACTTTTAACATATTATACTTAATTTATTAGATTTAATATGTTGTTTTATATAAACCATTATCAGTTTAAAACTACAACTTTTGAACAAATTGGACAAAATACTTAACTTGTTAATTTAAATATAACATTACATTGTCAACTTAAATATAATTTTCAGTTTCACTTAAAAAAACCAAAGAATATTTTGTAAGTAGGTAAAAGTGATAAATTGTAGTTATAAATGCAAAACTAAATTGTAATATCAATTTAACTAAAATATTTCCTAAAGATATTTTTATAATCGTTAAAAGTTTTCAAATAAGTAGCTTAAAATAACTTAAAATAACAATAGTTAAAAATAACTCTATATAAATGATTATATTGTTACCTTTAAAATCAAAAAATAATGTTTGATGTTTTAAATAATTATAATGATAGAAATTAAAACATTAAGCAAATAAATTTTAAAAAATTAATTAACAATAACAACAACTATAAATAACATTAAACCATATATTATATTTAATTTTATTCATGTGTAACTCCCGGATAGAAGTCATTCAAACGATTGACATTATGCAGTTATAATAGATTTATATATTATCATATAATTCAACATAATCAATATATTATATCAATTTAGTATACGAAATTACGAATTGTTATATCAAATTTAACAACAATGTTATTGCTATATTAAAAAAACATATATTTTTAAAAACTTCAACTATATAGGTGTTTCTGCGCAACGCGCGGGCATTCGTCTAGTTGTATTTAAAATATAAACGTACATTTTGCCTATTTTAGGAGGAAAATGATTGTGTGACTTTTAGGTTACTTCATAATTTCTAAAATTAAAATAATAATAATAATAATAATAATAACAACTTTTCTTATATATATTAAAAGATAATTATTTCTTTTTTAAATCAAGGTCAAAAACATTTGAAAAACATTGGTCATAAGTTTTGCTTTACAACCTATCCCGAAAAATTAGTTGTGTTTGTCACACTAACTAAAAAGCTAAATTTTTGTTTATAAGTTAGCTTGTCAATAATTTATTACAAATAACTTATAAATTAGTATATAATCTACAATAAGCTATTTTCATAATTTTATTAAACACCAAATTCAAATAATCTCAAAAAATATATTAACTTACACATACCAAATATTGCGGTAGTAGTCGGGATGAAAAAGCTTAAGAAATTCGAATACGAAAGTGATGGTGAATAGCCATGAAAATTGCATGGCTATTGTTTACCAAATATTTATTTATCGACCGACATGGAGATAGTGGTCCTTAAATTTTTTGACTTTTTATTTATGTAACTAGTTGTACTACACCCACACCCAGAAAAGAAATCACTACAAGATACCTAAGTGGTGGTGGTGGGGACACAATAGTCATTTTCTAGCTTTTGAAAAGTCATAAAAAAATGCTTAGTTTCTAGTTGGATCATCTCCGGTTTCTGATTCTCTCCATGTTACCTTTCATAATTTCACTTTTCCTTTTCTATTAATTTTTTTAAAAGCAAAATATAATTCATTCAAATTATATCAAAAAAAAAAACATTAATCACTCTATAAATATAATACAATGCGCATAATGTGTTATGTGGTTGTCCTAGGATACAAGTTACAACCCTTCTTGTTGCATCAAATAACGGTTGACTTGACTTGGTACTTGGTAGTCTGAAATTTTGCTTTTTTATAGTAAAAAGGTACCATATTTTAGTATTACAATTGCAAAAATATAATAATAGCTACCCTAAAAAATATTTTTGTAGATTTGTTTCTATCTTAGCCCAAATATAACGAAATTGACTTATAAAGGTGATTAAACTTTAAATATACCTTTTGAAACTGTGGATAACCATAAAAAAGGGGAAAATAATACTAGAACCAAAAGAGAAGAAGAAGAAGAAGAAGAAGAAGAAGAAGAAGAAGAAGAAGAAGAAGAAGAAGAAGAAGAAGAAGAAGAAGATGATCTATAAAATGGAAAATGGGAAAAAGAAAATAAAGGAACTGAATAATAACAAAGTTGTACATAAGTAGTGGTACTCAAGGTCGACCCAAAAGTTGTACATTTATTTATGTATATAAATTCATTTATGAGGGCCCACAAAAATGTAATAAGTGTCAAAAAAATTGTCATCTATCCATCTATCTTCATGTGAGGAATTATTTTTTATGTCACGACTCTAGTGGTATTTTGCCTAAATTGCAACTTTGCCATTTATTTCCTTACATAAAAAAACAAAAAATCCTATACTGCGTTCTATATGAAAACTAGAGACAGTTTTTAAATGCAGCTACAACACTTGCAGCATGTGCTTGTTGTCACTGAAGAATCTGCATTATTTGATAGTTAGTAACAGTATCACTTGTGTCAACTACCCTCTTCTAATATACTCTTATCTTGTAGAATCCCCATGTTCTACATCAAACTCTAAGACTTAATTAAATAAATTTCGTTACACTAAAACCATAATTCATAGTCGATGCCCTTCCCAAAATTAACCATAACAACAACTTTCAAACATTTTTATGTAAATTTGAGTTCAATTAAAATCTTTCAGGAATTATGACATACAATGGACTTGAAAGCTGCATTCTTAATGCTAATTCATGCGAGGATGAAAGTGTTGCAAGTAGAGGAGATGAATGTCCAACTATTGACTCTCTTGATGAAGAAGATGATTCAAGTTGTTCTTCTAGCAACAATGCTTCAGGAGGATCCTTTTCTTCTCAGTGGACAATCATGAAAAGGGATGAACATGAACATGAACAACAACCAGACGAATGGGAGTACTCAGAAAGTGTCAAAAAAGAAAAAGTGTCAACAAAACCACAAATCTCTGATGTGGAAATAATGAAAGAAAAATTCGCAAAGCTCTTGTTGGGTGAAGATACTACCGGAGGGCGAAAGGGTCATTCCTCCGCTTTGGCTCTGTCCAATTCCATAACAAAACTCGCTGGTACATTGTTCGCTCTCTTATAACACTAAACTACAAATCAGGCAACCTCTAAGGAATTAGCGAAAGATTTTAATAAAAAAAAAAAGGAAAATTTTGAATGTCAACACGAAAACTTTCCTCTTTTTGTTATGATCGGTCTTATAGGTCAATGGTTTTAATACGTATATAGCGCAGTGGCGAATCTAGAACAAAATATCACGTGGTTCCCAAACTAAGTGAAGCCGATAAAAAAATCAACAACACTTGTGAGGGGTCGGGTCGGGTCGGGTCGTGTACGATTTAAAGAAATATAACTGAAAAAACCGATCAGTCACCACCAATTAAAATTTAAAAAAAACCGTATAATTGAAAAAACCGAACGATTTAATGAAAAATTAGTTGATTATTAATGCATTGATACCTTATTGTTTTATAAAAACTATATATTATATTTAATAGCACAAATGCCCCCATATAACTTATTTTTTGCCCCTTTTAAAATGATTTTTTTAAGACATTTAAAAAAAAAACAAACTCAAGTAGGTCTTCTATTTTTTTTTAAGGTAGTTCTTAATTTTTATATATTATAAATGAAATTCAAATTTTAGGACCTATCTTCTCATATGTTAGCTACGCCCTTGATATAGCGTTCCAAAATGGTCAATAAACTTTTATTTGTACGCCTAAGGTGCTGTAAAAGTTATCTTTTATACTATTATTTTTGTGCTTTTATATTATTTATTTATTATTAATAAATATAATTTTTAATGCTTTTTATACTGTTTTACACACATACGTTCAGTAAACAAAGCAAATATCGAAAGGCAAATCAAATCAGAGATGTTTCTTCATCCAAAAACAAAAAATTGATCGGTTTTTCGTTGGTCTTTGGATTTTAGATTTGCATTTGTGATTTCGATTTTCCGGTATTTGGAGTTTTTGGATCTCCTATTGAGGGGTTAATTTCAATTATTTTTAAAAGGTCAAAAAAGTATAAAAAGAAAAAAAAAATAGTTATTTTTTGTGTATTTATTGTTAATAATAAATAAAAAGCGCAAGAACTTATGTTATAAAAACAAAAGTGACATTGGTATATAAACAAAAGTTCAGCGATCATTTTGGAACGCCATATAAGTATTATAAGCGTCGAAAATAGCAGGTGATAATAGTATAAATAACACAAAAAATTGTTTTAAGGATGCTTGGTGTACCAAAAATACATTTGGCTGGTGAAATTCAACTTTTTCCTTAAAAGAAAATAGCAACCAATTAACAATGGGTGATTGAAATGACAGGAAGTGTATTTGGGGAGCTATGGAAACTAGAGGCATTGGGAGATGAGAGAAAGAGCAAGTGGAGAAGAGAAATGGAGTGGTTGCTTGCACCTACTAACTATATGGTTGAGTTGGTTCCCGCTAAGCAATATGGTGCCAATGGCCGGACTCTAGAGGCATGCATTCCTTAATTAATAGTAAAATTTTCAACTTTCACTTTAAAAAACTCTAACAGGTTTTGTACGTATTCCATTTGACATTGAATCAAAGCAGATAATGAGACCAAAAGCTCGTGGGGACATTCACATGAATCTCCCAGCACTACGGAAGTTAGACTCCATGCTTCTTGTATGTCCTCGTGCTCTCTTCCATTACATGATTAAATTCAAATGACATAATCTCAATCCATCATTGAATTGAAAATATATGACAGGAAACTTTAGACTCAATGAAACATTCAGAGTTTTGGTATGAGGAAGGAGGTGTCCATCTCCAAGCAGACAAAAGGAACAACAGAGGGTGGCTTCCTGTCCCACAAGTACCCGTAAATGGGCTCTCTGATGGTGAAAGGAAGAAGCTTCTCAATCAGGCGAAATTAGTCCACCAAATTTTCAAAGCTGCCAAATCTATAAATGAAACCATCTTAATCGAAATGCCTATTCCAAAAATCATTGGAGACGCACTTCCCAAGGTAACAAAAACATAACAACACTGTGTTTGTGCCTGTGCCTGTGACTGTAATTGTGGGACTGGGCTGCTTGTCCCACTGACTGTGACTGTGACTATGACAGCGTAATAAATGCAGCCTAAATGCATGTGTCGTAAATCCTAATCGCTTTGTGTGTTGATTTACATATGTTGCAGTCTGGAAAGGCGAGTCTTGGTGATGATCTTTATAAAACACTGAATACAATCTCTTCTTCAGCCATCGGGATGCTGAACTTGCTAAACTTAAAATCTGAACAGGCTGCTCTTGAGACTATTAATAGACTAGAAACAGCGATATATGCCTGGAAAGAAAAAATCATGGAACAAACCAGTGCATCAAAATCACCAGCAAGAGCAAGAACATCATGGTCCTTAAAGGATCCATCAATGGAGCTTGATAAGATGGAGTTCTTGATAAACCGAGCTGAAGTTCTTTTGCAGCAAATCAGAATCAGATACCCCAACCTTCCTCAAACATTTCTTGATGTCATGAAAATCCAATATGGCAAGGTGAGCAAAGTGATTAATTAATTAACTCCCCTTTTACTTTTAGGACAAGTTGTCGATTAGACTAAAATAAAATTTGTGTCTCGTGAAACTGATACAGGATATTGGACATGCGATTTTGGAAGCATATTCTCGTGTTCTTGGAAACTTGGCATTCAACATACTGACTAGAATCGGAGACATTGCTCAACAAGATGTATTGATCGATCCCAATTCGCTATTAATTGCAACAAATACCCTTCCAGTTCCAGGGATAAAAAATGTGTCAGGTATTTCTGGAAATGTTTACAGTATAAGTGCAAGGCACACACCGACACTGATGGATAATATTAACAACATACAGATAGAGCCACAGGGGAAATTCAGTTTGTTAAAAGCTGAAAAAGCTTCATATGCATCATCGTTATTAAGTGATGATCAATCAAATACAAATTATGTTGCAGCAACACCTATTCCAAGCCCACGATGTTGTTTGGGAAAAGAGGCTTGTTTTACACCCCCCAAAATGTCACCGTAATAATATCAGTTTTGTAAATTATGCCATGTATATGCTTTTATTTAATACTGAAGTACAGACTTGTACTTTGTAAGAATCAAGAACCTCGATCTTGTCTCTGTACCAATGAAATGAATAGAAAAGTGAAGCATTATTGCATAAATAAAATTAACCCCATTTTGTCTAAAATTTTGTTGCATAAATTAAGAAAATAAGCATTTAACCATATATACTCTTAGACTTATGTAGAAACATAGTTAACCTGTGTATGGAAGATTTACAACGACAATTGAGCAAATTTATTCATTTTATGCCTTAAAATGAATAAGAAATAGCTTCAAAATTCAAATCATATTTCAGATTGGATACATGCATTTAAAATAAAAGAATAAAAATGGTCATGGAACTTAAATCCACAATAGATCCTAGTCAAGGAAATATTTCAAAAGCAAAACACAACATGGACATATGACAACGAGTGGTTACAAGAAATGATGATGAAGTTTAACAACTTAAGTTCCATTAAGCTCGTCTTAAACCACATTATCATTAACCAAGTATTATATACTACAATAAGAATGTGGGGATATAGTAAAAAATAAGAACAAAGCTCGCCTATAAAAGTATGCATTGTTTTCACTTACTGTAATCAGTGGTGGATCTAAGAATCTTGTCCGTAGGGTGCACTAGTTAGGGATCTTGTCCATAGTGGCGGATATGCCATTTTGTTTAAAACACAGGGACTAAACTTGTCTATAAAAGTTAAGTATTTTTTAATAAGCGATATGTACTTTTGTTTAAAAGATAGGGACTGTTTCTGTAAACTTGTCTAAATTTAAGCATTTGTGGCTTTAGGGATTGATATTCACGAGTCCTGTGTTGGATAATCTTGATGGATCAAGTCGGACTTTTGGTTATGGGTTAGTGGGCCACTGAATAACTGGAATAAGTTAGGTTTAGTTGGTCTTTGGATGACCTAGTCTAGAGGTAAATAACGTGGTTTAGAAGCCATTTTAATAGGAGCACATGCACCTATAAAGTTTTAGGGTTATCACGTTTTCTTTCAGTTTTATATAGCCGCATATGTAGTTTCTTTTATATGCGTGTAATCAGTCTTTTTGAAAGTTATATATACAAATTTGCTGTTTTGATCGGTGTTAAAAAGAGTTGTAACACCCATAAAAATTGAGCCAAATTAAAACATTTTAATTCATTTCAAAACCATTAAGTTCATACATCTCGTTTTCAAAATAGTTTAAACATCAGAGTATCCCCCAGAACCATATCACATAAATCATATAACACGAGGAGCGGTACGATCACGCCTTCGCCTTGCCACGATCTCCTGAAGTACCTGAAACATAACACTACAACTGTAAGCCCGAAAGCTTAGTGAGTTACCCCCAAAATACCAACCACACATAAACATACTCATAACATATCACAAATAGAACAGTCATGCACATCGGGTCTACTGTGTGACTGGTCCGCCCACACCGGGCCTTCAGTCCACCTGGTCCACCCTCCGAGTCCGGCCATGCGTATCGAGTCTACAGTGTGATTGGTCCGCCCGCACCGGGCCTTCAGTCGGCCTGGTCCACTCTCCGAGCCTCGGCACGTCTGGTCCTCCCTCTTGGGGCCTTCAGCCTATCCGAACCGCTCGCTGGGCCTTCGGAATATCCGGTCCGCCCTGGGTATGTTGGCCTACAGCACAAAGCAGGACCCGCCTCAACCCAACCCCCGTCAACAACCATGTGCACATAAAACAACTAATCACATAACAACCCTTAACCAGACAAACAATCTAACAGATCACATAGCATATCAACATCCTAACCAGGATTCCGACCTAACCGGTCACTAGCATATCATTACCCTATATACCGGGTACCGACCTTAATCAGGTCACTAACATAACACCATCCTAAATACCAGGATGCAGATCTAGCAAAGCAATAACATAACAAACAATACCCGGATTTCCATCCGATAAAGGGCCGGCCTTGGTGCCGTAGACCCTGTCGATATAGTGAGGATAACTCACCTGAAATTGCCGACTGAAGAGATACGACCAAGCTGCTCCGACCACCGACACGAACTTCACCACAGCACACTACCAAGGAACCAATACCAAAATTACCAAAATACCCTTGGAAGTCAAACTGGTCAACTCTTGGTCAAAGTCAAAGTCCTTAGTCAAAGTCAACCTTCCTGGTTGACTCTACTCGCCGAGTCGACCCGTCGACTCGTCGAGTTCCTATACTCAGAAACTCCCATAACACGACTCAACTCACAGAGTCGTCCCTCGACTCACCGATTCGAGGCTTAACCAGAAAAGGTTAGGGTTTCGCGACCAGACTCGTCGAGTCCAGAACAGACTCGCCGAGTCCAAGACAATCTTCAATAGACTCGCCGAGTTGTTCTTCAACTCGCCGAGTCCATGCACATGTTCATACAACTCGTCGAGTACACCAATGAGACTCGCCGAGTCTCTCCAGTTCTCAACCCATACAGGGGCTTTTCGAGCCATGCAGGGGCTCCAATTCATAGATCCACTCTTCTACAGCCTAACCCTCACATAAAGTTGCAAACTTTACGTGAAACCAAGGAGATATAAGCCCAAAACACTCTAGGGCTAGGGTTTATGACAAAGAGGCTTCACCAACAACTCAAAGACTGATGCTTTATGACTTTCTGGACCAACAAAAGTCTAGATCTAAAGTAGCAACCTCAGATCTAAGCTTCTAACTCGAAATAGCTCACAAACAAGCTATGGAACTCCACATCAACCACCAAGGATTAACCAAAAAGGAAATCAGCATAAGATTATGGCTTTTTACCTCTGAAATGTGCCCAAATAGATGTAGATCCCAGATCAACACAAGCCCCTTGATGTTAGCCTTTAATTCCTCAAGCTCTTTTCACCAATTTCCTCTTCCAAGCTCCAATCTCCTCAATAAAGAAGCCTCACACGAAAATTAGGGTTTCTGGAACTCTCAGGGGGATTAGGAGGCTGGGAGAAGGACATAAAGTCCTTTAAATAGGGTGCAACCCTCGGGATTAGGGTTTTCTTCCTACAGCACCAACTCGTCGAGTCCAAGTCTCCGACTCGGCGAGTTGGCCACTTAAACCCTGATAGAATCCCGCTCCGACTCGGCGAGTAGACGGACCTACTCGTCGAGTCCCTTTCCTAAATTTACACTTTGCACCCTTCAACTTCTTTCTTCCGAACTTGGGATGTTACAATTCTCCCCCACTTAAATTAGGCTTCGTCCTCGAAGCCTACTGCAGTATACACTTCAGAACAAACCCCTTGTACTGCAGACTCCGATTTCTCATTTAACTCAGGTTCTTGCAACCCTATTACCGCATCTCTCTTCTAACGACCTCTTCTAGCGTGGCATCCTTGCCACTACTCCAAGCCGACCATTGGCCTTTCAACTCAATAGCACCACGTATCACCCGATGACACTATCCCTTCATATCAGGGACGTACCTCCGCGCCCTACTAGCACTAGTTACCACAATCACCCACTGAACTCTGTTGAGACACTAATCCATCTTCCTTCGCCCAAAGTTGGCGATAACCCTGATAACTCGCAACCCGGAACAAATCCGGTTCCACCCTCTGGTTCTATCCCTTACGCGCTGACAGAATACTACATCCCTCAGCTCCCGTAACCCATCAACCAATCATATCGCGTAACCACTCGTACCTGGCCTAATCAGCCTCGGGCTGGAATACCAACACACCAGGTCCAATCAATCATAGGGTCCGGTCATCCTCATGATGGAATACCCTATATTGAAATACCTCCTCATACACAACTCAAGCCTACAACCATACTCGGAACCAAGAACCTTGTCCTTGCGTCACCCTCGAACCCTTCGGTTCGACACAACGGAGTGCAATCCACTCACACCTCCCTATCACGATCTCTAGGTCCTTGACCTCCGACTGTAATATCCTTATGTAGTCCTCAGCACCGGTCCAGACTACTCTCGAGTCTGTTAACCTGTTGTCTCACCTTCCTCTATCCCAATCTCCAATCGAGAATCCCTTTCCTTCTCCTCTTCCAAGGAGACCGAAAATATGCATGCTCATCATCCAACATTGCCACAACCTCAACGGGCATCCAACCCGTATGTGCTTCCATATATCTGGTACAATCCCAGTGCTTGCTACCAAGCACTTTCGATCATCCATTTACTCTGTTGCCTTCCCCTCAGAGGACCCACGCTCCTTCCGGAGCTACATACCTTCCCTTTCCAGGAAGTCTACTCAACAACCCTTACCGCACCTATAAGTGCCACAGAGCTAAACTCCACTCTACACTATCCATGTAGAGCAACAGTTATTCTCTAACTCCCATATACTCTGAATCCGATCACATAACTAACAATGCCCACGCACGGCCTCTAGCCATCTCCATCATCAAGATCAATACTTGGGGCCATACCATATCGATTACTATTGCATGGCGACATATTTACTCATTCTCCTCGTATCGATCCACTACCACATACAGAGTCTTCAGTGTGACTGGACCGCCTTTCCAGGCCTTCAGCCTATCTGGACCACTCTCAGAACCTTCAGCATGTCTGGACCGCCCTCCTGGGCCTTCAGCCTATCTGGACCGTTCCCCGAGCCTTCGGTCTGACTGGTACGCCTTCTGGCCCTCAGTCTATCCGGACTGCTCAAAACTGTCATACGCCATCCTGAACCATTCTTCCTGGGAATCACTCCCATGCATACTGTTCTAGCCCTCTTGGGGTTCCGAACTCCAGTTCCGTTCCCAGAATCCTTTCCATGGCCTAAACCCAGGCCTCACATTGACCGACTACCTTAACTGAAACCATGGTCTGTTCCCTGTCCCACTTGTCT